ATGAAATTTCACTAAATATACTATTACTATTATTATTATTATAATATTAATTATTTTAATTTATAACAATTTTGTAGAATAAGTTTTAAATATACAAATTATTTTTTAACAATCTTAAAATACTCTCTCGGTTCCTTTTTAGTTGTCATGCTGCGCTTTTGTTAAATTAGATTACATTAATTCGATATTATACATTATAAGTTTAGATATTTAAAAACTATATGAAAAATATTACTCCTCCGTCCCATTTTATGTGGTACTTTTTGGACTTTAAGATTCAAATCAGTGTATTTTTTATCGTAAATTTTTCGTAGATCTTTTAAACATTTTGAACTATCAATTATTCTGACTTATAGTACTTTTTACGTAGTCTACTAATATATAAATTTTATTTCAAAAAATTTGAAGATTTCATGCATAAATTACCGGTCAAACTTAAACTGTTTGACTTTCGAAAAATAAAAAATGTCATATAAATTGAGATAAAGAAAATATAAATTACAATTTTTTACATATTAATATAATAAAAAAAATACATCAAAATATTATATTATTTTATTCTAAAACAGAAAGAAAATTATGGTAACTAAAAAGAAAAGGGAAGTATATTATTTATTTTTTAAAAATAAGTAGGAAGTATATAAGTTTTATCACTCAAAAGTAAAGAAGAAAATCCTTGTTGAGAGGGAACACTCCAGAACATAAATATTTCAGTTAATGGCAGCTGTTTTAGTTTTAGTGGAAAGATGAGAAAGAGACACGTAGTATTCCAAGAACCCCATGCAAGACGTACACGTATTCATCTTCATCCAGCATCACCGACTGACGTGGGCATTCCCAGTTTAACTTCCTTTTATTCAAATCCCCATTTTCCCTCTTTACTTAACCGTCTCTCCATTTTTTTTCATTAAGACAAAATTGAAGATGATGAATGTTTTCGCCATTTCTCTTGTACTTACCACACTTGTTACAGCAGGAGTTTTTTCTCCGAACCCGGAGAAGAAAGATGATGTTATTGTTAAAGGTGGTCATAGAGTTGTAGTTGTTGAGTATGAGCCAAATGATGGACAAACTAAGGTATCAATTTCTCCACCTGAAACAGAGTATAAAGAGAAAACAGAGCATGTTTCAGTTTCAGATGTTAAAGATAAATTAACAGAAAAAGCAGAGCAAGTTGAAGAAAAAATTGATGGGTTTCATGGGATGAATGCTAGAGAACTTGTTTGTGATGCTTATGGGAAGTGCAAACATAAGATAGCAAGTGCACTTGAAGGGACTAAAGACTCTGTTTCTGAAAAGATGGATGAAATTCAAGAAGATGCTAAAGAGGGGTTTGAGAAAGTGACTGGCAAAGCCCATGAGGCAACAGAAAAGGCAAAAGAAACTGTTGGGAAGAAAGTGGATGAAGTGAAACAAGGGGCTAAAGAAACGGCTGAGAAAGTTAAAATAAAAGCAGTTGACACGACAAATACACTGAAAAGTCATTTGATGAAGAATGCTTCGGAAGATCTTGATTTGGTAGAAGAGAAAGTGAAAGAAGATGCACAAAGGCTTAAAGTGGAAGTCCAAAGAGACTATCATGTTGGTCGTAGATTCTTTTCAGATATGTCAGCATACATCTTCTCAGCCAAGAATTTTAGATCTTTGATGGGAATAATTCATTTGCTTGGATTTGCATTGTCTTATGGGGTTTCTGTTTGGATGACTTTCGTATCGAGTAATATCTTGGCAAGAGCTTTGCCGAAGCAGCAATTTGCAATGGTACAGAGCAAGATTTACCCTGCTTACTTCAAGACTATGTGTTATGGCATCGCTACGGCGTTTTTGGGCCATATGTTGAGCCAGATGCTTCCATATTATGCGAATCGGACAGAAAAAATCCAAGGTCTCATATTTCTGGCCATATTCTCCATGACTTTGTTCAATTGTTTCTACTTGGAGCCTCGAGCCACTAAGGTATGCATTTACTTCCTCTAGAAATCTTAATAGCTCAATTAGTTGTCTGTCTGAACTTTTGTTGTTGGTGTTGACAGGGTTCGGCTCCCTCTAGTGATCCCCTTCTCAAATTTTAGTGGGTTCAGTTGGTTGTTTATCTAAACTTCGTTTATTTTTGATGTTTTTTGAGTGTTTGATTCCCATATGATAATCTCCTTGCCATATTTCCTTTTGTCCCCCCCACCCCCCCAATTTCTTATTTAGAAAGCAACGATTAAACGAGAAATCTTAATAGCTTAGTTGATTATCTATCCAAATTTTGATTTTTGTTTGGTATTTTTACAAGTGGTATTGGTGAGAGTTTGATTGTTCACCTAACAAATGTCCCATTTTTTCATAAAAATTTCAGTAGCTTAGTTGGTTGTCTGTCTACCTTCCTGACCGTTATTTCATTTGGACAGGTGATGAGGGAGAGAATGAAAATAGAGAAAGAGGAAGGAAAAGGGAGAGATGTTTTCGACGTAGAACCAAGCACATCAAGTGTAGATGCTTTCGAGGATCCAACAGGTATTAAAACAGGTAAATCAACAACTCATGAACCTCTTGAAACACAACAAGAATTGCCAGAGGAAACAGCAAGATTGAAACCACAAGTTGAAAGATTAAGTGAGAGGCTAAAGAAGTTGAATGTAATCTCATCATTACTCAATTCACTCACACTAATGGGTCTCTCATATCACCTTGTTTATCTTAGCCAACTCGTCCATTCCAACCCTTATTAATTAATACTCTTCTCTTTGTAATTATTCGCATGTAAAATCATACTTCTACCGTTTAATTTTATTTTTTTTTGTGTTTACTTACTATTTCAGACTAGTTCATTTTAATTCAAACAGTCAGTTTATATTATCAGTACGAGTAGGGATGGCGATAGTTTGGGTCAAAATTACGAAATTCAACTACTATTTGGATTTTATTTTTAAAGAATGTATGGATTTTTTATTGAATATTGAGTTTAGTATTATGATTTTTTGAATATTCATTACGGTGATCTTATTCTTTGTCAACTATACGAAGTTATATATTATATATACTAATGAGAAAAACTATTAAGTGAATCGTCAAAACATACAACACTTTGTTTTAAAATATAGCAAAACAATTATGTTTTAATGTTTTATTGTGATACCTTCTGGCTTAAGGTCTTATATTACTCGATCATTTTATGAAAAATAGTTATTTTATTAAAAAATAGTTACTGATCAACTAATATGGAGGAAAAATAGTTATTTTTATTAAAAAGTAGTTATTGATCAACTAATATGGGAGGGAGTATATTGAAATAAATTAGGTTAATATTTTTATTTAGCCGATTATTTTTATTTATTAACTATTTATCTTTTATTAATATCTCTATTTGATTTGAGGTATAAAGAATTGTTTAATTTTGCAGAAATCTTATGTTCAATAAGATCGTTTTCTTGTACAAATGTACCCAAAATATTTGTATAAAATGACTGTGATTTTAGATTGAAGTCTAAAATTTAATTAGTGTCACTATTATTTATTAGGATATTTTGCTGGCTGATTTGAGACTTAATTAGCAAGTAGTAATATCATATAACATTATCTTGTGAATATTTACTTGAACGTTTTAAATTAGAATTTAAATTTAAAAAAATATTGAAATATTTCTTAGAGAAGTGTCTATATAGTGGTAGGTTGGATTGATTGTCTTAAGGTCCATCAAATTGATGGAAAATTCCAAAGCACTCATGGTTTGGCTTGTTGTTGTCTTTCTTCTTTCTTTTTTTCCTTTCGGAAAGAATATCTCTTTGGAAAAATCCTTTTGGCCAGAAATGTGGCCAGAAAATTATAAAAAAATATGTTATTTTACTTTTTAAAATATTTTTACCCTTTTAATTTTAATATATTTTAATTAAAAAATGGAAAACAAATCAGTTTAACTTTAAATAAAAAGAATACTATAGACTTTTCAAATTTTCTGAAAAGAACTTTTTGTTTTAATTTTTTGTTTGGCATGTTTAAGATTACAATATTCATTTGATTTTGGCACTAAAAACATAGAAAAGACTTTTGAATTTTATAATTTTAAAATCAAAGATATATGGGATGTATCAAAATTTTAATATTGTACTCCTGAATTTGTCGTGTACTAATTTTTTTTTTTAAACGTACTAAAAAGATAAAATAAAACAAACAAGTTGAAGCGCAGGATTTAGAAAGTACTTAATATGGAAAATGTACTGCTACTTTTTTATCTCATTTTTTATAACACACACACACACACTATATATATAAAATTTGTTTTGAATATCTTTTCTTTTACAATTCTTTTTTGCTTTTAATAAAATGATTTTTATCGACATAAATATTCAAAGAATGGTTGAACAAAATTTATAAAAAGCAATCTCTTTTTTAAATTTTATGTAAATCAAACAATACAATATAATTAGAATAGAGGAATATCGTTCAATTATATTTGGTCACTGAAATGTCAACCTATTAGGTGGTTAAATTTCTTTAGACAAGCGTCTGAACATAAATAACGTGTCAAGCTTATCTTACATCTATGTTATTCCAATTCGTCTTCCAACTCAACATAGTACTTGTGATTTTTGGGTTGTACGAAAATCTAACTTTTAGACTAAATTTAAATGCCAAATTATAATGGAAGTAGAATATTTGCTTGGAAACGTAAATAATTAGTATATTTAGACTATTTTTGATAATACAAGAACATATTTGATTCTTTTCAAAAATAAAATAAAAAATACCACTATATAAATTAGGAAAGAGACAAGGAGCAATATTATATAAACTTCATATCCATGTGTTATTCCACAACACAAAGGTTACATGAGACAGACACAACAAACATCAAAGCTAAAAACGAAATAAAAAGTACACAACCAACATGGATTATTTTTCACCATACTCTCAAACAACAAACAAAGCATGAGGCAGCATTTATGTAAAGCTCACATGCATATATAGATGATCCCATCAATTCATCTTGACATGGTGATCATCAACAGCTTTGGTCATACCAACAATGATTCAGAGACATTCTCATTTGGCCTTTCATACTCTATTGTCCAGCTTACTAAATTGATTTTGCCTTTTGTTTCGATATGAAGAGTTGCCTTATAATTATCATATGTATCCACTACATCACCTTCAAATTCTTTGAATATGACCACCTTTTTTTCATGATCTATAGTGTCAATTATCTGCTTGGAGATCTTCTTTTTCCCTTCTGTCTTACAGGAGAAAGAGAGAGTTAGATAACCATAAGAGTCCTTAAGAAAAGCTGAGTGCAAAATGATATCATAAACGGAGAGTATACAGAGGTTTGGCTAAGATTTGAAGTTAATGTGTTTTGAATTGGTCACAAAACCCACTACATCTTCTTAGTTTTTGAGTTCACACTTAAATATTCATACATATTTAATGAAATTCCTGACACAAATATATGATCTAAGCAATATAGCTACTCAATAATTTGTCCGAACTGATAGCTAATACTCTCCCTCTGCCCCTAGTGAAAAGTCATTTCCCTTTTTTTGACGAGAAATATTTTTGTTAGGAAATTTTTAAATATTTAGCTTACCAAAGGTATACATCCAACAAATTTTGGGCCCAACTGTTCCAATGACACCATCAAGAAGTTCAAAACCTTGTACATGCAAAGGGCACATAGTAGACATATGGTGTGGTTTATTTGTAAAGACATCATGAAACACATCCTTGTTAGCCTTCATTTCTATTTTGGCACACAACACAGATTTTAGACCCATTTTACTAAAGACTTGGGAATAAAAAGATGTAGTCAAACTATAGGAAACTTGTAGATCAGAGGAGAAGTGTTGATGTCCATTACAATGATTATTCAACAATATATATAGACTAGAAGGGGGAAGGTGGAGTTTTTTTTTTTTTTTTTTTTAAATCCTTTTTTTAAATTAAAAGATGGTATAACATCCCAATCATGTCCTTACGATTAGTTTTTTCTTTATATATATATATAACTACATTTGTGGAATTGTGATCAATTTTAGTTGGGACTTTGAAAGATGTATTTGATTTAAGTTAGAATTCTTAAGGCTACTCTAACCCTAAACCCTAGCTTATGCCTATATAAAAGATATTATATTTTCTTAAAGAGGCATCTCGAATATTCCATAAATTCATTTAATTTTCATAAGGAGATCAAATTCAAATCATCCTAGGTCATCAGATCATGGAGAAACCTTATGAGAGAGAATCAAGGGAAGAACAAAATTGTACTCATATTGATTTATCAATAATATATTTTGCTTTCTTCAGATTTTATTTATTATTGATTTATTTTTCATATATTTAAAATTGGGTGAAAACAAATTGGCACGCCCAGTGGGACCAAATCTACCTTGCATCTCTTCTCTCACTAATCAGATCTGCAAATCTGAAGCCACAAAACTGCAAAGGTGGAATAATGAGTACTTCAAAACCTCGTCTTTGAGTCAAGTCTACACACTGACTAGCCTTGAAGCAGGAGTGTTTTAGACACTGAAAATTTGTGGGACTCTGTAAGACGTATTCAATTCTAGTTGGGACTCTATAAGAAGAATTCGATTCCACTTAGATTTCTTGGAGGCTACTCTAATCCTAAACCCTAGCTTATGCCTGTATGAAGGGTATTATATTCTCTTAAAGAGACATCTCGAATATTCCGCAAATTCATGAAATATTTATAAAGAGATTAAATCAGATCATCCTAGTTCAAGAAATACGCCACTAACGACCGTCGGATCATAAAGAAATCTTATGAGAGAAGAATCAAGGGAACAAGCAATATTGTATCCATATTGTTTCATCAATAAAATTGTGTTTCTACATTTTTTTGTGATTGTAATTTATTTTCTATCACTTTAAAATTTGTTGCAAATAGTGACATAAATAATAATTTTCATGCACTTGTAGCAATACTAATATATATTATGCAATTATATTTCAACCACTTTTACCACTGATGCAATTATGTTTCGACCACTTCGATGCAATTTTGTTTCAACCAATTCTAAAGGATACTATTTTTCTTTCTAAAAAGAAATGATCATAATGCAAAATGAAGATCTAGGCTCATGCATGAGCTAACGATAAAATTTTCATTAGAAAGAAAGTGATGTTTCAAGTGAGCATGCAAAAAAAGACAAGATTTTTAAAAGTTACGTGGGACTCATCATTTTTCAAAGCTAAAGTTAGGTTTATTTTAGTTTAATCGGTATCTGTCTTAGTTAGATTCTTTATTAGAGTGGTTTTTTTTTCCCGATAAATTGCTTATTCACTGCCTTAAATGGTCAGTGGGCATGGAAAAAAGACAAGATTTTTAAAAATTATGTGGAACTTATCATTTTTCAAAGATAAAGTTAAGTCTCTTTTAATAAAGTGGTAATGTTTTTTATTTTATATATATATATATCCTTTTTTTCTACGGTAATTTTCAGACGATAATAAAAATCATCACCATTTTATTAAAAGAGACTTAACTTTGTCTTTGAAAAATGATAAGTTCCACATAATTTTTAAAAATCTCATCTTTTTTGCATGCTCACTGACCATTTAAGGCAGTGAATAAGCAATTTGCCGAAGAAAAAACTACTCTAATAAAGGATCTAATTAAGACAAATACCGATCAAACTAAAATAGACCTAATTTTATCTTTGAGAAATGATGAGTGCCACATAACTTTTAAAAATCTTGTAATGCTTGATACTTTTAGTTTGATCGGTATCTATCTTAATTTGACCCTTTATTCGAGTAGTTTTTTTTTCGGCAAATTGCTTATTCATTGCCTTAAATGGTCAGTGAGCATGGAAAAAAGATAGGATTTTTTAACGTTATGTGGCACTCATCATTTTTCAGAGCTAAAGTTAGATCTCTAATAATAAAGTGATAATATTTTTTATTATCATTCGAAAATTACCAGAGGAAAAAAGAATGGAAAAATTGTATATAATAGCAAACTATTAATTAAAATTAAATGTTATAAATATACTTTGATTTAATTGTACCCTATAGCAAACTATTGTTATTTTCACCACTCTCCCTGGTGGAATCTCGCTCGCCACTCTCATTTGGTGGCAGTCTCGCTCGCCTCTCTCGCTTTTATACAAACACAAATGTATAAAATGTGTTTGTGTTTACATAAAGCGAGAGGAAATTGTATATATACATATATTTTCGTTCCCCTCTCCCAGATCTCACTCACCACTCTCCCAAATCTCGCTCGCCACCCTCACCTCTCTCGCTTATACAAACAGAAACAAAATGTATAAATTGTGCTTCTGTTTGTATAAAGTGAGAGAAAATTGTATATACACATGCAAATACATATATTTTCGTCCTATACACTTATAATTATACAATACAAATATTTCTCTGCCCAGTTTTCTTTTGTCTTTCTCTCTTTCTCGTTTTATACATACACAGATTATACAATTGATCTTTTGTCTACAACTGTTTTCTTTTGTATATATATAGCGAATTATACAACTGTCTTCTTTGTATATGTATAGCGAATTATACAACTGTTTTTTTTGTATATGTATAGTGAATTATACGTATATATGTTTGTTATGGAGCGCAATTATGCAAATTTTGCTATAGCATACAAATATAAATTTTGTGTTTGCTATATGTGAAAGTTGCTAAAAAAATTAGGATATATATATATTCAGCTTCAATACTGCTCTATGACAAAACTATATTGATTTTTTTTAAAAAAAGACAAAACTATTAATGTGTTGATATCTGTGAAATTTTTTGTTTGATTTTATTCTTGAAAATCAAACCTGTCATTTATGTAGAAAATACTATTTTTGTCAACTTTTAATTGTCATTGTTTCCTTTTTAGAGTAAAACGATAAGTGCTTTGCCTAACATTTTACTATATATTTTTTCATCATATTGACATGCGAAAAAATGCAATTTATAGTACTTTTTGTAAAATTTTTGAATATCTAAAAATTTTTGTTTAAAATATCGAAGTAATGTAATCTAGTTTTACTTTGAAAATTAGTCAAATTAATTTTCAAAAAGCGCAACATAATAATTAAAAGTGGACAAAGAGAGTAATGTTTTGTTCCATGTTTTGTAAAAGGTCAAAAAGTACATTAAAGGCACTAGTAGGCATGCATAATTGAAAAAATAAAAACTAAAATTAAATATTCACTCAAAAAGATAATATTGTTATGAAATATATTACATGGATGTAGCAACTAAATGTAATATTCGGTTACTCTTCACAATTATATATAGTTATCCTCCTCACGTTCGTAGAGATTAATGTCATATTTATGTTGTCTTTTGATGTTCCTCTATACAAGACAGATTTATGTGTATGAGCGGGGTTTTACGGTGTCAGTTATTGCGATTAAAAATTATATATTACACTTGTCAATTATTAAATTAAAATGGCGAACGGTGCAACTGGTAAAAGGTTTAATGGAACGTCTTAGGGTTTGAAATCCTCTTTTTTTCTTTCTTTCTTTTTTGTCTTTTTCATTAATGCGTGCAAGGGCTTCGGCTTTTTTTCCTCATTACTTCTTCTTTATTTGTGATTACTTAATTATCTAATTAACTGTTTTTTCCTTCACTTAGTTCTTGATTATTATTTTTTTATTTACTCTCTCTTTCACTAAGTATTAAGTTTAATTGATATGAATATTGTGTGTATATTCTATATTAATTACAGATCAATATTTATTTATGAACGTCTCATAAATATTAATTAAAATATATTTAGATAGTATCTTTTTTTTAAAAAAAAAAGTTTTTAAGAAAATGATGGATATAAAACTTTTGAATTTAAAGGTTCTTTCGATCTTTTACGTCACACTAAGTGGAGATAATTGGATTGACGCTATAATTTTTTTACTTTTTCTCAACTATATGGTATTAGATGATTTATACAAATTCAAATTATTAACGTGATGAAAAATCTCTTGTTTTCTTAAAGTTATAGAGTTCTTTATTCCTAAAAAAACTACTTAGGTATTTATATCTAAAAAAAAATACCGAATGCTCATGTTTGATCAATTTATTTATAAAAATAGAAAAAAAAAATTAAATAACCGAAATTATAATTTATAATTGAAGGAATTGACCCGTTTACCCTATTTAAACAATATGACACACATAATCTTTGAATTCTGGATCCGCCTCTGCCTCTATATATGCAACTATATAAATATAGATATTGAGAATTATGTTATATACACTTGAATATACTTGGAGAAAAAAAAAAGACAAAAGTTCTCTTTGCTATTTACGAGGTCGTTTGGTAAAGTGTATAAAAATAATGCTCAATAGAGTGTATTAGTAATGCTTGTATTAGTTATGCATATATTATTTCTTATTCATTATTTGGTTTGGTGTATATTAAAAATAGTATGCATTATATAAAAAATATTTATTTTACAAAAATATCCTCCACAATTATGATGAAAAGTAGGGACGACAATGGGGCGGGTTGGAGCGGGTGCGGGGCAGGTTGAAGCTTAACCCGCTCCGCCCCGCATAAAATTTTGGGAAAATTGTATGAAATAGCAAACTATTAATTCAAATTAAATGTTATAGCCATGCATAGTTTATTTTAATTGTAATTCGCAGCAAATATCTCCTTTTTTTGTCATCTGATTTGTTATACAATTAGACATTTTCGGTATACAATTAGCCATTTTATACATTTCGGTATAAAATGTATAAAATGCGTTTGTGTTTGTATAAAGCGAGAGAGAAACGTATATACAAATAT